CTGACAACAGAGCCCTGGGCACTGGCATCCCACAGGGTTCTAGGGCAAAACCCTTCCATGTTATTGAGCCAGTGAATGACTGGAGTTACAGGTAATTGACTGGGTAAGAATTGTTTGGGTTGTGATTCAATACAGACATTGCAGCTGCTCTGTTGTTTGGCTTCTGAGGAAAAAACATTTTATTGTTTCTTTTGTCCATGTCACAAAAGGGCTGTAGCTTCGGCTGTTCCTGGGGATATGTTGAAAATAACTGTTCTGGAACCAGAGAATCCAGTTTCTGGATACAGGAGATGAATCAAGTTGCTTCTATGCTGCATATTACTGCTGGTCCACCCTAGAATTCACTGAATTAGATATCAAGAATTTAATAATTTCAGGGTTTCTAAACATAATAATTTCTATGTTCTAAACATAATAAATTTTGAAGCTCTTTTTCATATAGAAAACCTATATGTTACTGCTGCTCCAAACTAGGAGAAAATGGATGTAGTGGACCTTCTTTTGACCATGAGATTCATGTCTTTGTCTTAAATTCAGGACAAAAATTTGGTTGAACTAGAATTGATGGGAACTTTTGATTTAATTTAGAAAAGCCCAGCTTTCTTTTTTATACTCTTGATTTTTTGTTAAACTTCAAGTAATGTGAATTTTTAGAGAGAAAACAGTTACTCAGAAAACTCTTACACTGACAGGATTTGTGAAACAATTTGATAATACTTCCTCTTTCTTTGACTCCTAAAATACTGGGAGCTTGTTGTACATGACACAATTTTATTACCTGCTCTTCATCAGTCTGTTGGTTGTGCTGTGTAGATGTTTTTTGTTATTATCATGGAATACACGTACTTGCAGCTAAACATTACATAAAGTTTCATATCTCTACCCACATTTGTTACTCATGTAACCCTGCTTGGCAGCTAAAAGTAAATCATAAGATCAGTAATGAAAATAAAACCTCTCAATTTCCCTCTTCACAATAGAGAGGTGGGTCTAAGCTGCAAAATTTTGATATTAATTTAGTTCTGAAATTTTCAGAAGATGAGAGATCTGACACTGGTTTTATGTTTTTAAATGTCAAAAGTCACTAGAATTACCTGGTTCTGCTTTTGAGTGTTCTGGATCTAGTGTTTACAGACCTAGGCACAGGGCTGAACTAAAAGTATTACCAAACATAGTAGTGAATTAAAGAAAAAGACAATTTTGATTGTCTCCTTTTTTGGAATATCCAGAAAAGATGTAATATTGCACCGTGAGTTTATTCTAGATCAGTATCCTAAGTCCCCTTCCTCCCCCAGCTGACAGAACAGATGGTTCATCTCTCTTCTACAATTTCTGCATCCTTCCAAATCCCACCGTGAGGAGCTGGGGAGAGGTCTTTCTTTAAGAAGTCCTGTCCCTCTAGTGCATTTCAAGTCTTAATTCCATGGCTAACTCTTCAAATAACACTTCAAGTATCACCCTGTCATGCTGATTTTTCTGGAAATTACTAAGGGCTGAGATGGTGTGTAGAATTAATACTGCAGATGAAAATATCAATACAAGTAGTACTTCAGCAGGAAGGGAGGAATGTAAAGGGCGAATGTCTACAACCATTTCCCCCAACTTTTTTTATATAAGGCTGTGGTCTTTGAGCAGTCTGTGAGAGCTGTGGGCAGTGTAAACAGTTTAGGTCTGTTTATACCCATGAGTGGCACTTCAGGCAAAAAAAGATTTGCAAATTATACAGGTGAGATAAGAGCTGTGACAGTGTCATGAGAACAGCACTGCTGAGGGGAGGGCTGAAATCTTGGGTCTATTATGAGTGACTCTGTATTCATAGTGGAATAATGCCTATAAAAAGAATGAAAACATCCTTGACAGTCAAGGACCAAAATCTGCACTCATGGGAAACAGGAAGGTGAAAGAAATGCAGAGCTGCAGCAAATGGACAAGGAGATCTTGAACACCTCCATGGTGAAAAATTAAATCAGTTACTACAATAACTGCAGGCAAGGGGGGTGGGCAGGTTGTGCAGAAAGACAGTAAATTTCTTGTGAATTTCTTTCATTGTTGGGAACTTTCCATGACTTCCAGAAAACTATGGCAATTACGTAGCACAGGATGTCAGGAATGACATCAAAATGACCAAGTCAAGTGGGCTGTGTGACTGGGAATTTAAACCCATGCATTACTTACATTGATGGATAACTCTTCAGAGGAATGAGCATTTTGTTATGGTGATTCACCAGCTAGCAGCTGGATGCTTTTCCCAAAATATTCAGAAATATTCATCTTGCTAAGTGCAGCCAACAGCTTGTGCTGTTTGGGTAATATTAATGTATTAATGTAAAAGTGTGTTATATTTTGTGAGTTCTTAGTTTCTAGACAATGTGGGCCAAAGCCACATCCTTTTTTCAACAGCACAAAGTAGTTGAAAAGGCAGAGAGTAGCTAGGTAGGAATCCCACTTACACAGGAGTCGTCCCTTGGTAATAGACAACCACCACAGCAGCTCGATTTCAGCTTTTCTCCAGTGCCAAATCAGTTGAAATTTCTGAGCAAAACAGGAGTTGGAAATTGGTTTTTGCTTCTGAGATACTCCCAGCTGTCAACAGTCCACCAAGAAGGTGGGTAGCAGCATATGAATGAGGGCAGTGCTGCAGCTTGGATTCTGTTTGATGTTGTGCTGCTCTGACTCAGTGTGATCTGGATTTCAGCACAGCTGAGGTGGAGTTTGAGGCCTGAGGATGGAACTCCCTGGCTGCCACCCACCTGTAGCAGCAGCAGCTGCAGCTGGAATCAGGTACAAATCAAATTCAGGCTTTCTTCATGGCCAATTTTGTGCCAGTCCCTTATTCTATTTCATTAATTTCCAATTTGTCCTGCCCCACCTATGGGTGCTATTTGCCAATACAGTAAAAAGAAAATACTGTATAAAGCAAAGCACGTACACACAAAGTAACAGAAGTCCAGTTTCTCATTTTCAGATCTCTAACATAATGTTCCATTTCTCCTTGCCTTTCTTGCTCATTTTATGACTCTTTCCCATCTCAATTTCTCTCTGCAGTCATTGATTACTGATGTAATATTTCCCATATCAAATTCAGAGCTATAAAAATAGGCTACAGTGCAGAAAGTATTTTAGACAGAGGCTGGTTTAGTTGAGTTAGTGAGGTTATGTGTTGGAGAATAGTGACACATTCATTTATTTATCTGCAGGGAATTGTTAGTGAAGTTTCTTGTTTATGCCCTCTCAGTCTCTCTCCTGATTCATTCTCACCTGTTTTGTGAGACTGCTGTGACCGTGTAGAAATGTAATGTGACCTAAGCAGCTCAAATTCATTAGGACATGAGGATCATCAAGCTAGAGGTCTAGCAGAGGCATTTTAAATGAGGATGTAATATGGGTAGCTTTTTACTTTTAAGAAAGTGTGAAAGTATGAGTTACATTTTCATTAAGTTAAGGCAATGAGGTCTTCAGCATGATTGGTGTACCTGCTGTACAGACAGCGCTGTGAAATAAGCCAGAAGCAGCATTCTTCCCACTGCTTCCTCCTGCTTTTATTGATTTAACTGAGGCTCTGGGGTATCTGATCCTATCCTGATGCCTGAAGATTTATTCATATAACTCCCCATGCATCAGCATGATATTATACCACTCGTTCTCTGGAGAAAATAATTAAGTGAATTACTAACGCATAAAATGCTCAAGTTAAAATGCTTAAATATTCCATTTGATGCAGTTATATATAGCTTAATGTAATAAGTGCTGTATCCTCTTAGAGTGCCATGGCTTTAATCTCCATTAAATGGAATATTAATTACCAGTTGATTCCAATTTTGTCAAGGTTGCTTTGTTGTTGTATTCTTCAACAAGACCAGAAGGTGAAAAAGGACTAACCTGTATATAAATTAAAAGTAATCAACAGAGGTCAGAGCAATGGTGTCATTACTTTGGGGTTGCAGTTATAAATACTTTGCTATCACAGAGTTTTTAAAATGAGACAGAAACTTGATCTGTTAACTTGTAAGAGAAGTTGCTCGTGGGGATGGCAGGGTAGTTCATGCTATGGGCAGGTATTGCAAAGAAAGGGAGAGTAACCAAACACAACCAGTGGTGGAGTTCAGCCTTTCACTGAAGGAACTGCTGTGAAAATGCAATTCCAGAGCAGCTCCATGGAGCACTCAGCAGTGAGTGGATGCACATGAATTTCCCAGTATCCTGCTCAAAAAGCCATCAAATAGCTTCCAAATGAGTGTAAGCTGCTCAGAGCTGCAACAGTTAATTCTTTTTCTGATCACCTTTTTCATTTTTGCTTTGTCTGTTAGAAAGCCTAATCCATTGACATTGAACATGAAAGATTGTTTAATTTTTTGGGGAAAAAAAAAAAAAAAAATTTTTTAGTCCTAAAGTTGCTTAGATTTCACTTGTAGTAAAACAAAATGTGTGGGTTTCTCTATATCGTTTTAAAGAAAACAAAGATCTGTAATATTTTGCAGCATTTTATCTTATTTACATCAAATGTTTTCTTCTGCAGATACAGTTTTGTTTGTCTGGGAAATAGAGCTATTAGTCCCAGATTTTAAGCATGTTTTAGTTTTTTCTAAATGTTTGCCTTTTTGTCTTGTTTCACTATGGAAACAAGCATTTTAGCCCAACAAATTCATAGTGAAAATACAGCTGAAATTCACCTTTTTTTTTTTTTTTCAAACCACATAAATATGTGTTTATGTATTCTGCTTCTATTGAAACCAGTTGCCTCTAAACACAAAATCCACTTCAAGGGCCAGATCCTAATAAGGATTCATCCATCTTCATGATTCCTGCTCCATCCCTTTCCCTTGATACAGCTGTTATATAAATGTCAGTGTATTGTGCTGGAAATTGAACACTGGCAGTGGAGGAGAGGCACATGAGGAGGAGAAGGAGGAAGGATTGTTCCAGCAGAGTGCTGTCTGTGTGTTTGGGTGGTGCAGGTGCCCACTTCATTCCCTGCATCCTTTCAGCACCAGGAGTTCAGCTCAGTGCTGGCTAATTCCAGGAACTGAGACTGTATCTAAATGCAAATCTCATCCTTTGGAACCACTTTCCTTTGGGTCCTGGTAAGAAAATTCAGTTTTGCTGTCTCTGTTCCTGTGTATTGTTAGCTGGGAGCTCACCCACCCATAGCCCATCAATGCCTGGGCACCTACTCCAGCATCTCAGGCTTTTATGCTTTGGCTCAGAGTGAAATGATAGATAGATTAAGTTCTGCTCTTGTTGATTCACACTCCCACTTTACCTGCTCTCCATGTAACAGAGGTTTTGATCAGGATCTCTGTTACAGCAGTTTTACAGCCCTGCTGTTTAGCAGTTCTGCACCAAGTTTGGTTCATCTTTCAAGCAGCTTTTGCATCCTTCTGCCTGTCCCCCTCCCTGATATTTTTCTCACTTTGATGCTAATGAGGGGCCAGAGAATCCAAAAGCTAATTAACATTTCTGGTCATAGATGTGCAAACGTAAGGAGAAAATTGCTCTGCCAGTGTTGATCTGAAGTGTAGAAAGTAGAGATGCATTGCCAAGGTATCTTTCATCTGAATAAAAAGGAGGATTTTTTTCAGGAGCTGCTGCTGCTTTTTCCTGCACTATTTCTCATCAGCATATTAAACCTCTTCTTCACAGGCTTTGCTCAGCTGCTGCTGAACAGCATTCTAGGTTGTGTAAATTCATGGGAGTGTGGTTTGGGGAAGAGTTGGCAAAATGAAGCTGTAAATTGTTGGGAAGTGTTTAAATTGAGAACAGTGTTGCAAGTTTCCCATGGAGATTTAGGTCTGATTAACTTAACAGAACTGAAATATATTTTTCAATTTATATTCAAATAATGTTCATTGCTATTTTCTTTAATATGAACTTTTAAGATCTCCAAGGGGAACATTTCTCCACAGATAGCTGTCTTCTTTACAATAAACCCCCATATTGCCATTGACCTTGAGTATTTTCAGGAGAGAAGAGGAGGCAAATAAGGGCAATTTCAGCCCTTGTTTATCAGTCTTCTCTGAATGTGCCAAATGTCACAGCTGCCCCTGACTTTGCATGGTCTGAAGTCCAGATATAACATTTGTTTTGATGGTATTAGGAAATGACAGTTAATGTGTTTCAGTCATTCAGGAATATAATGTAATACTATAAAAGTGATTCTAGGGTGAGTAAATTTAGCTGTTGTGTAGGTTCTCCTGTCTATAATCCTGATCTTAAAACTTTCCAGGGCCTCAACTTTGGGGTGCTTCAAGTAGCGGTTTGTGGTCAGAAATGTGTTCCTACCCATGAAAATGATTTCATAGAATCATAGAATATCCTCAGTTGGAAGGGGCCCACCAGGATTATCAAGGTCCAACATTTTTGGAAGAATGTGTGGAGGTGTTTTTGTAATTCTCATTGGAAGAAAACCAGGAGGATTTAGGAGATGGCACTTTGGAAGGATTAGTAATTCTTTCAATGTTGTTAAGGGAAATTGGAGCAACCAAGGCAAGGGGAAGGTCAGGGCACTGCTTGTTCATGAATTGGTAGGGAGCTTAAAGAACAAGTTCTGTGACTGGGAAGGACTAGAAAGAAGTCAAATATTGGAGTTATTTGAGGCTTTGTACACTGATTGATACATTATTATATTATCTGCCTAGGGTAATGGTGAAAAGCAGGGTGTCAATACATAGTAATGCCATAAATTTATATAAATTGAGCAATTTTAGAAAAGACTACTAAGAGCTCTAGGAGAATGTAATAGAACTTGGTAATAAGATGTCAGATTAAATTCAATTTAGATAAGTGCATGGGAATTAAAGTATAAATCACTTCAGTGTGTGCAGTTCTAAATCAGTCCTTAAGAAAATGGCTTGATATTATATTGGAATATTTGAAAAACACTACTTTGATTATGTAGGTAAAGATTATAATAAAAAGTGTGACAAAGGCATAGGTATTTTAAAATTGTATGGGCTCTTTTATTGCACTTCTTCATTCCTGGTCATTGATTATAATGGTTCTATAAAGTGTTCCAGGTACATGGGGTTGTGCCAGACTCCAGTGGCTTGGTAAAAGCACAGAAATCCCATTCACACTGGTGGCTCTGGTATCTGGCTTGTAGATTTAAAACTAGAGCTTTAGATAGTAATGTAAATTTCTTATTTTTTCTCCCCAAAAAGAAGGTTCTTGTATTTTTTAAGTTCTGCTGATGAGTGGGTTTTTGAGTTTCATTGAATCTAGTTGAGCTTGGGAGGTTATTTCCATAAAGGTGTGCAAGATCCAAAGTGTCAAATTCCATGAGCAGGGTGTACCCTTACAGGTAAATGGTAATCCTGTGAGCGTCATTTTTCACTTTCCATAATGAAATGATGGCTGTATTAATCTCTCTGAGTGTTTAAATATAACAGCCCTAAACAGAAACCTAGTTGGGAAATCTGATGAAAATCAGCCTTTCCCAGCCTTGTTTAATTCTGCTGTTTTCCTGAAAGCCCTGGAAACTGTGGTTGAGATGGTGAGAGCAAGATTATCACCTGCAAGACTGAGACTGTGTGTTTGAATAAAGAAAATTCTGATGAAAATTCCTCATTGTGGCTGCAATCTGCAGTTAGACCACTTGTGACTAAATAATTGCAGATTTGACCATAAGTCTTTTCTGAATTCTCTACTAATCCATAGAAGAGCTGATTGCACGTTGAATTTTTGCTGACAATTTCTCCATTGTTTTATCAATCCCTGCCCTCTGTGTAGAAGTCTTGAAGAGAACTTGTGCTCTCTGTAACTTTAGAGCCGTCCTCGTGTTGTCCTTGTAGTTCTTGCTCAGTGTGAAATATTCCCTTTCAGAATTAGTTTATAATTGAGCTCCTGTAAGATCACTCACCTTGTCACCTGTTAATGTGAGAAGTTCTGTATTTTAGAGAGAGGACATTGATCACTTCATTTCTGTGTTAATAATAACAACTACTGTCAAATTATCATGGATAAAGGATGTCTCTTTTTTTTTTTTTCATTACTGGCAAGAGAAGTATGCTTAGTCACTGCAGTTAATTTTGGTTATGGTTACAGAGCCTTATAGTGAGTAATTTCAGTCTCTATTTTTGGTTGTCTCTGGAGATTTAAAAAAATTTAGAACAGTTTTTAAAGCAAGGTTTTGATGTCATCTTAAATGACATTGGTTGCCTTTTTCACATAATTTTGATGAAATCCTTTGCTTTTGTACTTTGTTTCACCAGTACAGCTAAATCTGTCACTCACTCCCAAATAATCCAAGCCCAACTTGCTTTGCAGCTCAGAGGATTAATATAGACTGCTCAGTGTTACATGCTTTAATACTATCTGGGGAAAAAACCCGTTTCCTCACTATCTGTTTCCAGAAGCATTAAAATGTTTTACAATTTCAGTCCTTATACTTTGTCTTCGACAGCTCTGTTGTAAAACTGTGGAAGCAATAAATCCTTTCTATCTTTAATTGAATCCTTTGATATCACTCTTCAGGGCAGCCTGGGCTTTGCAGTTATTTGCACATATTCAGTAGGAAAGTCTGTTCTTGTAGCTTTTATTCCTTGTCCTTCAACATTGTTGAATCTCGTGGCCACTGATGTTTTTCATCTTGTGTGGTTCCTGTTTGTGCCCTTTCTCTTTGCTGCTCAGAGCTCGTGTTGGCTCCCTTTTTTCCCTTTAAACTCCTTGAAAATAATACTGGGGCTGTTCAAACCAGCTCAGTTGCTGTCCTTGCCAGCTCTAGCATTTAGCCCTGGCTGTGTGCAAATGGAAGCAGCCTTAGTCGTGTGGCCAGAGCCCTGCCCTGGCCCTGCAGGGAGGGATGAGCCCCGGGGAGGCTGCACAGGGAGCAGAGCCCTGCCCGGGGCTGTGCCTTCATCTCTGCAGTCTGCTGCTTCCACTCGTGGTCCTCCACACTCACTGGCTGGAATTGGGTTTTTTCCCAGCTTCAAACAGATTCAGAGCTGTTCTGCAGGGAAATATTGCCAGTTCAGCATCTTGAAAAAAAAAGTGCGTTTTTCTGTGTTTCTTAGGAAAACCTTGTGTTTTAGAGATAAGAATAGTTCAACTTTTGCACCCAAAAAGTGTTTGCAAATGATAACAGTTGTCTGAAACATTAGACTTAAGAGGTTTCTCTATTGTGTTGTTTCTTTTTTAAAAAATGAAGCTAGGGCTGCTATGCAAAATATGGCATGTGCACTATATCCTGCTTTGGAGACTTTATAACACTACTGTGTAGGCAGGAAAGGGATTTCTTTCCCTTTGCAATCTCTTTTAGTTTGATTTTTTTAGGTAGCAGAGAAATGTAGTTCAATTCCTAACCAAAACACTCTGTTGTACCAACATTGTTCATATGGTTATTGAATTTTTTATATTGTATAAAACCTTGAGCAATATCTTTGCTATTCACATGCTGCTTATTGTTTGCAAATTTTTCCTTGTACAAAACAAAAAGCCAACACAAAAACCTCCTCTAGAACACTGTAAGAAATAAAGTATAGTAAAGTAAAGTAGCCAGTAACTGGGATGGATATGACTGCACTGAGAAAAGGATGCCATGCTCCTTTAGGAATTATCTTGTTTATATTGCTTTTAAGTCACTGAACATGTTCATGGTGAAATATAGACTTATATTTACAGAACTCTGAACAGTGTCTAACTGAGTTTCAGACTTATGTAGTTAATAAAAGAACCTATTCTCTTCAGACAGCCTTGAATTCTTATTAAATGTATAAGTTTCATTTTAGACAGCAGGTTTCTACATACTGGAAGCCCCAGGCTAAAGCAAAAAGCAAAGGGAACTTGTACATGTTTGTAACTACAGTGCAGAAGGGAAAATTCCTGTTTCTGCTGCTAGGGCTCCAACCAGTTTATTTGTAAGTTGGGTCTTTTTCTCTTTAAGAAGGGCAGGTAAAAATACAACTTATAGAGAAAGTAGTTTTATTTCTGTTGCTCTCAAGGAGCTAATGTACTTTTAATTAGAAAAAGGCATTGAAGGCAGGTGGGAAAGGGGAAAAATTGTTGTTTCTTAATGAAAAATTTTCTCTGTCCTGCAGAAAGAGCAATAGATATCCTACTGAGAATTTTTACTAGAATTAATGGAACTAGTGGTAGAAATGATGCTGTAAGGAATGAGAAAACAAGGCCTGAATTAATAAAGCATTACAGTACAGTTCCATGCAGTAAGTGCAGAAAATTAGTGTTTTTCACAGTCTGAAAACAAAAGCAAAGAGAAGTCATACAACTTGAATACGGCATACCTTTTCTGTTACTGTCAAATTGTTAATTCTTGACACTGTCTTAGACCACAATTAGAAAACAGATTTTTTTTTTAAAGCTTAGAGGTGTCATTGACATATTTGGGATAAAAGGCCATGTAGACAACATTGTCTAATTTGAAAGGCAGACCTGAATCAAATGAAATAACACATTAAAAGCTGCATTTTAGGTATGGTGATCTTCACAGCCATGCCACTGTACTTGTAAAACCTACAAAATCAGACATTTTTTGCAGTAACTTGGTTTCAGTATTTCACTGAAAAGATATTCTCATAACTGAATGTCTGCTGTGAGCTTTGCCATCCAATGTAATTGCTTCCATTTCCAGGCAAAATGGCTCTCCTGAATTCTGCTTTGGCTTTTGAGTTTGTTTTATTTTGCTTAGTAGAAGGCCAAAAATGCTCCCTCATGGAGGCAATCCCATACAGCAGAAGGTGAGAGGGCATTTGGAAGTGGATGTTTGAAAACTGCTGATCTCACCTGCTGATGGGTGGGAGAAGTGAAGCAAATTGCACACCAGGCAAAGAGGAAATGCTTGTGTGTCACTGGCACGTCTGCCTGAGGCTGGGTCCTTCCAGGTGCCCAACTCAGCACCTATTCCTGGAGCAGCTGCTGCTGTGAATAAACATGTGTGAGAGTATTTATCCAGAATGCAAAGCTTAAAAAGCGTTTTGGAACCATATCAGTGACATATGGCACAGCAGTTGAAATGAGTGGAATCACTGCTCTGGTGCAGACTTTACAGACAACAGCAGGAGAAGCAAAACTCAGGAAAGGTGCAGAGCATTACGGGGTGATTTACAGAGGAACTGGGTGTGACAATGCCAGTCAGTCTAAAAAAATTAACAGTTAAAACACACACAAGTTAAAACAGTGGAACAGGTTCTCCTCAGAGTGAAATGATGAAGACAACAGACGAATGTAGGAGGAATAAAATAAATCAGCTGTTAACTGTTCTCAAAAGTGCTATCTTTGAAAGCACTTTTAAAAGGGAATAAAATTGCTTTTTAGATTTCTCATCCTTTTAAAGAAGAAATTAAGGTGTCTCTTGAATCTGTACTTAAAATTGAAGTATGTTATCTGTACATTAAAAATGAAGTGTTGCCTGATTCTGTGAGCACTTTCACATTGTGAAAATGGCAGCTGATAGTTGTGAGAACAGGTATTTTTCAACCCTGTTTTTAACAAGAGCAACAAGAAGACTTAACAGCTGTCAGCTCTCAGAATTTGGCCTCCAGTCCAAATGCAAAATTCTGAGAAGGAAATGGGCTTCATGCTGGGAACAGAGAATTGAGAAATATGGGTTAGAGGGTGATGGTTCTGTGTCAAAAACAGTCTGCAGCTTTCTGCCTAGACTTTACAAATGGAAAGCAGCATCTGTATTTGGATTCTGAAGCAAAAAAGAGCACAGCATAAATAGTCCTGATACAAGATGCTTAATATGTCAGTTCACCCAAGCAAATGATCCCATAATCTCTTCCAAATCCTCACAGAATGTTTCTGACCTTATCTCCTCCCTATTTCTACAAAAACTAGTGCTCTTTTTGGTTTTGAATTGCAAACATGGTTTCCTGGGTGTTAAGCAATTGCAGAAGGTGTGAAGTTTTCTGTGTCTGCCTTGCCATGAAGAGACTGTTTGCAGGATTGAAATTTATAATCGTGAAACTGAAATTATGATCTAGACTGTGTAGTTCTGGATAAATGTAGAACAAATGAAGAACCTGCCGTGGCTCAAGGCAGACTCAAGGCTTCCCCAAGGCTCAGAATGAGTTTTTTGCTAAGGTCTCATTTACTTCAGGAGTAATGAGAGTACAGTTCCAGTTTTAAAACAGAAAATGCCATTGCATATGTCTTGAAACAAAACACTGAAAATTGAGTGTTGAGCAGTAATCTGCTTTTTTGTTCTATCTCCTAATCTCACAAGTTGATAATTACTTTGTAATAGCTGCCAAATCATTAAGGAGTGGAATATATTTACCTACCTGTGCTGATAAATGGTAAAATCTTTTTATTTTCAATTTTTATCCATCTTAGCAAATGTATAACTGCATAAAAGATTTTGTTGCTATAGCCTAGTGGATGCTTAAAAAACTTGAGGAGATTAAAATTAATTTCTGTATCTTATTCATGTGTGGGTGTTTTGGGGGGGTAAATGTCTATTATCTCAGTTTGTTTTCAGTGCAATGTAAGACATCTTGCAGAATTGTGTTACAGTCTTGGGTATTTTAGAGAGTATTTCCTTCTGCATCCATTTAATTCTCAGAATAATTAAAAGAGGGAAAAGGTACCAATACTAAGATGCTTTTTGAATGATATTGTAGACTTAGTTTTCAAACAACAACAGAAAATACTTATGCATACATGAAAAAAACTTGGTTTTTATCATCAGAAACACTGTGGAAATGGCAGTGGATATTACACAGGATGGCCCTCACCTGCTCAGCTCCTTTAGTATGGACAACTCCAGGGGATCCCAGCTGGGTTTCCTGGCTGCAGGTCACACAGGTAAGAGCAGAACTGCTTCTAGAGCCACTTCTTAGCAGCCATTCCCTCTCTGAAGCTGCAGTCAAACTTGGCAGCACTGTGCTCCCAGTCTTTAATATTTGTTTCTTCTATTTAAACATCCACATTTGAAAATCACTGGACTTTGTACTTTCTGGTTTTTTGTTGTTTTTTTTTTTTTTTTTTTCTGCAATTTGCCATTTTAAAGTAGACTTTCAAATCTATGGGCATATTCTGGTAATTTCAGAAAAACATATTGCTGACTAGTTAAAAAGAGGGAGTTTTGATCATTGCATGGTGGATGAGGTAAAATGAAGTGTTGTTATGGTATAGAATCTTAATATTTGTGTAGATGTTTCATTTGATAACTGCCATTCTGCTTCAGCTGTTTGTGGGGGTTTTTTGCTTGTTTTGCAAGCCAATACAGGGACCCAGGTGTACCAGGGGAGGCTGAGTTATGTTGCCTGTGGTTTCACAGAACCATATTAATGTTCCTTAATCATTAAAGCAACATGAATTGTGGTCATATATCTTTCAAAACAACCCATGATTATAGCCAGGAATGCATTAAGAAGCTTAAATGTGAATTAAGTACATGAAAAGATTGCTTAGATCTTGCAGGCTCAACTGCATTGTGAGCACTCAGTGGTGGGAAAGGATAATTCTTACAATGCTTTCTGTCTGTGGGTTTTAAAAAGGCTTTATAGGGGGTTATTGTACCTGTCTGCAGGTCTGAAGATTGAAAGAGAGAGAAAAGAAAAATTTTTCCAAGGTCTCTTGGAAAGCAAATGGTGCTGCTGGAGGGAAAACCAATCAATTCAGAGGTCTGGGCCAGTTCTCTGTTCAAGTGCTCTGCTCCCTCCTTTGCTTCCAACTGTTCCTGTTTCCCAAGAAAACAAACATCTCCACTGCAGCTTCCAAGTAGAATGTGGTAAGTGTTCTGAGAAACCTCTGCTAGGAACTTCTACTTTTATTATTTGCTTCTAGCCACATTACACTCATAACCACAAGCCTACTTTTTTAAAAATAGTTGATGCCACTATAATTCCAGTGTTCCTTTTGAAATTGTGTTATTCTGTACTTTTGTATACAAAAATGAAGGTAGTTTACCCCAATTTTCTACATTACAATTCTTAATATTCTGCTTTTAAAAAGAGAGATGTTCCTGGTGCAATATATCTCATAATCTGTTTATATGAATAGAAATTGCATCAAATGCAAAATTAGAGGAATGGCATTAGCTTTACATTAAGTCCTTATTCAGATACAAGTTATTAAAAAAGGGAGGAAAAAAAAGGGAAAAGGGAATTATTTTTCTTTTATTTGTTGACTATACATGAAACTGTTCAGTTTATTTCTGTGAATCCTGCTCTTTGGCCAGTTCCTATAAGTGCCATCATACAAATCTTGGTTTCACCAGGCCTGTCTCCTCAAGACCACCCTGCTCTTAGTCTGGCATTAACAAAGCCTGAGTTTATAGCTGAGCTTTCTGATGGATGCTATGCTGGTTAGAGTTGGTTGAAAATCTTTAGACAAAAGATTTCCCCCTCTCTGGTGGAGCTGGAAAACTCATTTTTTTGAGCTGGTTTCAGTCTGTGGGACTGCTGGGGCTCCTCAGGTGTGTCCCTGTGGGACCTGAGCAGTGCCACACACCAGGGCTGCTGTCCTGGGAGCAAGGGGAGCTTGTCCCCCTACTCCAACCCTCTGCTGCTGTCAGCACTATTAGTAAGCCACACAGATCTGTAGCATTTCAAGCAGGATTTAATATGAATAATCATCATCCCACAGGATTTGACTGACATTTTGGTACTGGCTTCTGTGCAGCAGAAATAAGCCTTTAAGAATAAAACGTTTTTTGTATGAAAAGGATACCCATCATATAACTGCAGCAAACCTAATGTGAGGAATGACTCTTGTGCACTAAAATTAGAGATTATGAGGCAGACAAGGTAAGAGCCCAGGGTTCCAGTTCTACACAAGGATTTGCTAAATTGAATAAACACAAACAGATCTAATTCTGATGCTTTCTAACTTGTGCATGCTCAACTTTAGAAGTCAATAATACTTTTCAAGACAGAATATATGAGCATTATCTGAAATTGAATAGGTGCCTTTGTCTGCTTAGGAGTTTTTTTTTTTTTTTGAGACAATGCAATAATATACACAGAGTATCTGGACTTGTTAAAATGTATACTCTTCCCTGAAAAGGGCAAATTAAGTATTTCATATACTTTGAAAATACTAATGCTATATTTTTCTATGAATACATAATAACATGATTTTTACTGACATCCAGATGTTGCCTTTGCTGTCTTTGAAAAACAGATTGTAGTGTGTCCTGCTTGTTAGTTGAGGCCATCTTACTCTGTTTTTATTTCTGAAATCCAAGTATTTTCATATAAATCTAAATCCATAAAATTGATGTAAGAATTACTTTGGTTCCAAGATTACAGTTATTTACATGTGTGCAGACTTGTAATTTTTTTCATCATATTTTTGTTGGTATCCTGTTCCTTGTAATTCCTGGCTAAATCTGTCATTCCCCATCATTTTGTGTGGCCTTTTCAGGGCTGCTGGTTGCTCTGTCTCAAAATTTCCTTTCCATTTTTTTCAGTGCTGTGTATTATCCTGAGACCTGTTCTCTACAGCAAATTTCATTTTTAACATTCTGGTGCAATAAATGGCAATAAAAGAGGGTGAGTTTTCTAACTGTGTAGGAAAACCATGTCATGATGCTTTTTATTGAAGAAAACATTTAAATACTTTGAAAAGGTGTTTTAGTCATCTTGGCAATGTGCAATGTGTAGAAGCTGAGGATATGTGACTCAGGAGAAAATGTGTTGGTACTCATTTAGGGAAAAAACTTGGTTTGTATTCATACAGAGCTTGAGCTGAGACCCAGGGGAGCAAACAGAACTCTCTTCATCACATCTGGGAGGAAATCTGCAGCTGATGTAAATTTTTATAACTCAGTTGATTTCAGAAGAGCAATGCTGATTTTATAGGAGATGAAGTTTTTTGCACAGTGATGGTATTTTCTTTGTTTACTTAAAAATCAACCATGCTTAATATCAGGCAGAGAAGCAAAATCAAGTTCCCTGTCCTGCATCCCTGTCCTCAGCAAAGCTCTTCTGGATTTACACTCACCAGACTGGCATCAGTATCTGCTTCAGCACATGCCAAACACCAAGAGGCATTTTCTGGTTTAGAGGCATTTCTAGTTTTTTGTTCTCTTACTGCTTTGAGCCCCTTTGTTGGATCAAAGCAAGCTGAAAGCTGGGCTAAGCAGATGGTTTGGGGTTTCTGTGAGGAAGGCTGGCCTGGGGAGGCACAGAACCAGAGCAGGGGATTTGCTTGCTTGGGGAGTCCCTGAGCTGAGTTGGGTTGGGTTTGCTTGGGCACAGG